AAAAAAAAAAAAAAACAGTTTGGGGGGTGGGAGAGAGAGTAAAGGAAATTGAAAAGAGGGAGAGAAAGACATCGAAACAAAGATAAAAGATTCAGTAAATATTCATTGCGTACCTAACATACTATATTAGGTGTTGATATATCTATCCATATTTATATCCTTGATTCAGTTGACAAAGCAAGATCCTTATTTTCATGGAGCTTATATTCTAGTGGAAGAGACAGACAATAAACCAGTAAACAAATAAATTTATGAAAGGTCCAGCAGTATCAAAGAAAACATGTTCAAACAGAGTAAGGAAATAGGAAATAATGTGGGAGAGAGGTAGATCATTAAAAATGAATAGAATTTTGAAAAGACACCAGAAAGCAATGAGGGGAATTTAGCCATGTAAACGTCAGGGGACAATGTTTGCCAGAGAGAACAGCAAGTGCAAAGGCCTTCTTACAGATGAAATGCCTGCAGTGCTTGAGAAACATCCTGGAGGCCAGGGTAGTTTTGAATTATATTTTTAAAAAGTCACCCTGGCCCTTGTGCATGTTCCATTTCACATATGTGTGATCTGTAAGATTAATTCCTGGATGTAGGTTACAGGGAAAATGATTTATCACTTCAATAGAAAATTTCCATCTAGTCTCCAATTCCACCAACCATATTTGAGAGGCCTATTTATTCACGATCTTACTTACACAGAGTGAAGCTTTGGGGAATTGGGCACTGTTTATTGGTCAGAAGCCACAAAATCAAGATGATGACATGGTTGCTGTCCTGGAGGCTCTTGGAGAAACCCATTTCCTTGCCTTTTCTAGTTTCAACCTTCATTCCTTGGCCCATGTTCCCATCCCCCATCTTTGGATCCAGCAACATGGCATCTATCAGTCTCCTTCCTTTCATTATGTCACCTAATATTATTCTGACTCTGCTGCCTCCTTCTTATATTGACCTTGTGATTGTATTTCACCCACTCAGTTAATTTTCCATCTCAAAATCCTGAATTTAAATCCTTATCCTGAATCTAATCACATCGCAATGTCCCTTTAGCCATGTACAACAACATTTCTAGGTACCAGGGATAAGAGTGTGGGCATCTTTATGAAGGAGGGAGATTTATCGGCTGTTTCTTTGATAATCTTCTAACCTTGCAGAAGGTTGTATAGTTGTTTGTTTGATTTTGGTTTTGCCATTTGGAGTTTATCCTAGTAAATGGTATAAAATGCAGATTAGACTTTATTTTTTCCAGATAGCTTTTTATAGTAAATGATACCTACCCCACCCATTTACTGAGAAGTCCAACTTTTCCCTAAAATATAGTGAATTCCTATATATAATTTGGTTGCTTTCTGAAGCTTCTATTTTGTTCCATTGTCCGTGTGTCTAAAAAGTACATGTTTTTTAAATTACAGAAGGTTTTTAGTATGTCACAGTATCTGGTAGGACTAGACAAAATTTGCTCTTCCTTTCCACCCTTCCCCCATGCATACATACAGTACCTTGCTCTTCTGTTCTCAAGGTTTTCCCTGCCATTTTTGTTTGTTTATTTTTTTCTACATGAACTTTAGAATCAACTTGCCTGATTTGGGGTGTTGTGGAGATTGTTAGTTTCATTGGAGAACTATGAGGTTAGTTAGCTCTTACTGTCTTTGAACATCATATGTCTTTACAGTCATTCAAGTTACTTTCCCCACTCCAAGTACTGGAGATTGAACTTGGCATTTTACCACTGAAGTATATCCCTGTATCCCTGCCCCTCCCCCTTTTTTATTGAGACAGGGTCTCTAAGTTGCTGAGGTTGGCCTTGAACTTGCAATTCTCCTGTCTTAGCCTCTAGCTGGAATTACAGGTGTATGTCACAGCACCTAGCTCAAGTCACTTTTATTCCTTCAGTAGTATTGTAACATTTTCTTCATAACAATTTTGTACATTTTAAGTTTATTCCCAGCTTTTTAATCTTTCTTTTTGTATAATGGAAGAGAAGATATTGTTTGTAATACTCTCTGATTAGTTTTTATGTATGAAATCTATGGTTAATACACTTATTATGTTAATTACAAATTATTAATTTTAACACTGCTCTCTTACTCAATTATCTTGTTTGTAGTAGTTTTTTAGTTGAGCCTCTCGGTTTTCCCATTGCAGTTTATATTGTCTTCAAATAGCAATAAACTCTTCCCTGCTAATCTTTATATATCTGTCTTTCTCTGTCTCTTTTATTACATTGTTAAACAGCATCGGTGTTGTGCATCTCTGTCTTATTCCTGATGTTAGTGAGGAAGGCTCCTATTTCCCCATAAGTATTTGCTGGTTTGGGGCTTATACACACACGCACACACAATCCCCATCATGTTAAAAGAAATACACATCAGTTCCTACTTTACTCGTTTTTCGCACCCCCTGGATTAAATCCCCAGTACTAGGGATTGAACTCAGGAGCACTCCACTACTGAGCCATATCCCCAGTCCTATTTCGTATTTTATTTAGTGGGTAAGAATAGGAGTTGAATTTTATCAAGTGCCTCTTTAGTGTGAATGGAAAAATACTGTGGTTTACATACTACTACATATTAACTTTTCATATATTAAAATACATTCTCAGGCCAGTCGTGGTGGCTCATACTTACAATCCCATCAACTCAGGAAACTGAGGCATGAGAAGGCAAGTTCAAGGCCAACCTCAGAAAATGTGTGAGGCCCTAAGCAACTTAGTGAGACACTAAGCAACTTAGTGAGACACTATAAAATCAAGATTTGGCATCTTTTAGTTCTGTTTTGTTGCATTCGCCAGTTTTGAATAGCTCTTTTCCTAACTCTTTTATTCATCAAAAACAGAAACAATTAAGTTACTCCTAAAATGCTTTTAATCTTGTCTTTTGTTACATTTTAGGGAAATTATATCACAGATGATATTGGAATATCAACTTGGAAGGAGCAGACTTTTCTCTCCCATGGTGCCTTACTAGCAAAGAGCTGCCAAGCTGCGATGGAATTAGCAAAGCATGATGCTGAGGTTCAGGATATGGCATTTCAGTATGGGAAGCACATGGCCATGAGTCATAAGGTATTTGCACACCCTTTATCTTTTGCAATACTTAAGTAGCTAAAGTGATATACAAAAAAACCTTTTGCCATTTAATAAGCTACTTTTATATGTCAAAAAATGTTTGTATGCTCAAAATCTGTCAGTCATAGATGGTGATTGTATAGTGTAAACAGTATGATTGTTAAGTACTATATAATTTTGACAGAAGTCCACAGTTTACTTAAGCCATGTTGTTTGTTTGGGTTTTGTTTGGTGTTTTTTGTTTTGTTTTGTTTTGTTTTTGTTTTTGTTTTTTGTTTAGTACTGGGGATTTAATCCAGGGACAATTTACCACTTAGCTATATCCCCAACCCTTTTTATTTTTTTATTTTTAAATAGTCTCACTAAGTTGTTTAGGGTCTTGCTAAGTTGCTGAGGTTAGCCTTGAATTTGCAATCCTTCTGTTTCAG